ATATATATCTCCTCAATATATGTTCCATTCTATATGCATCCGAAGAAGTGGGCTATAGTCCACGAAAGCTTATGCTCTAATAAATTTGTTAGTCTCTAAGGTGCCACAAGTCCTCCTGTTCTTCTTTTTGCGGATACAGACTAACACGGCTGCTACTCTGAAACCTTTCATTATATAAGGTTCAAAGGTGATAATAAACAAGATCATGTACTCAAAACAGTTACTTACTGCGATTTTCCACAAGGTCAAGAGCAACATTAGTAGCAATATCCATCCCAGTGTTTATGTATGACTGGCAGTTTTTCAGAGACGATAGAGAAGAATCCACACAGTTGAACGAAATCACTGAACCCCCAGGCATCTTGAAATAATTACCTTGGAAATAACAGAAAAGGGGTTTTAGAGATAAAGTGTTTGGAAAAAGAAATAGAAGTACAAATAACCAACTGAGAGTCCCAACAGCTCTGATCACATGTTGAAGAGCGAGGGTGAAATCCTGGCCCCACTGAAGTAAATGGAAGCTTTGTAATGGACTCCACTAGAGCCAGAATTTCACCCCAGGTATACCAAACATCTACGGTGCAATGCCGAACAGCACTACACCGCAGAAAGTGGCTTGTGGCTTTCACATTCTCATGCACACTGTTTCACTGAAGGTAAAATGCCCACTGATTATAAGGGCTGTTTTGACAAACAGGCAGCCCTCAGAAGAAACAAACTAACAATTGTCACTTATATAGAGACCATCAAGTTGCAGGTATGCCATGGATTTATATAGAAGCATGATGATATTTTTGTCTTATTATTAAGCGTAAGATTTTGTCACAGAAATTTTTCATCAAAGTCACAGACAGATCACAGGCAATAAACAGGAGTACTTGTGGCACCTTAGAGACAAGTACTCCTGTTCTTTTTGCAGATACAGACTAACACGGCTGCTACTCTGAAACCAGGCAATAAACAAAAATTCACGGAAGCCCATGACCTGTCCATAGGGGAGGAGAACCGGACAGTCCAAGCCCCACCAGGGGGCCAGGGGTGACTGAGAGCTGCTCCAGCCCTGCCAAAGCCGAAGACGTCTCGGAGGTCCATTAAAGTCACGGAACCTGTGACCTCCTGTGACAAAATCATATCCTTACTTATTATCTATCCCTTTTCTAATGGTTTCCCAGTTCCCCAATTTTGTGTCATCTGCAGGGCCCTACCAAATTTACGGCCATGAAAAACACATCACAGACCATGAAATCGTGAAATCTGGTCTTTTGTGTGCTTTTACCCTACACTATACAGATTTCACAGGGGAGACCAGTGTTTCTCAAATTGGGGGTCTTGACCCAAAACAGAGTTGCAGGGGGGTCGCAACGTTATTTTAGGGGGGGTCATGTTATTGCCACCCTTATTTCTGTGCTGCCTTCAGAGCTGGGCAACCGGAGAGCGGCGGCTATTGGCCAGGTGCCCAGCTCTGAAGGCAGCACCCAGCCAGCAGCAGCACAGAAGTAAGGGTGGCAATACCATGCCATGCCATCCCTCCTTCTGTGCTGCTGCCTTCAAAGCTGGGTGGCTGGAGAGTGGGGCTGCTGACTGAGGGCCCAGCTCTGCAGGCACCAGTGCAGCAGTAAGGGTGGCAATACCATACCAGGCCACCCTTACTTCTGCACTGCTACTGGTTGCGGCTCTGCCTTCAGAGCTGGATGCTCAACCAGCAGCCGCCGCTCTCCAGGTGGAAGACCACCACCACCAGCAGTGCAGAAATACGGGTAGCAGTACTGCAACCCCTCTACAATCACCTTGTGACTCCCCCCAACAACTCATTTTTGGGTCAGGACCCCTACAATTACAACATGATGACATTTCAGATTTAAATAGCTGAAATCATGAAATTTATGATTTTTTAAATCCTATGATCGTGAAATTTACCAAAATCGACTGTAAACTTCATCAGTGATGATTTTATGTTTTCTTCCATGTCATTGATAAAAATGTTAAATAGCACAGAGCCAAGAACCAGTCCCAGAAGGACCCCACTGGAAACATAACTGCTTGATGACAATTCCCCAGTTACAGTTACATTTTGAGACCTATCAGTTGGCCAAATTTTAATCAATTTAATATTTGCTATGTTAATTTTATATCCTTCTAGTTTTTTAATCAAAATGTTGTGTGGTGCCAAGTCAAACGCCTCACAAAAGTCTAAGTATATTACATCAGCTCTATTACCTTTATCAACCATAAACCCATCAAAAAAAGATATCAAGTTAGATATCAAGAGAGGATCTATTCTCCATAAACCCATTTTAGCACCTTATGACAAGAAACTTCTTTATTTTACATGAACATTTAGATTCTGCAGAATGTGTCAGTGTCCGTCTGCCCCGTGACTCAGTTTCCCCATCTTTAAAACAGAGATTAAAAAAAAAAGACCTTTGCAACACACTTTGAGATCGATGGATGAAAAATGCCAACTATCCCGGATACTCCCAAGGCTACCCTTCCAGACACTCAGTGCTCCCCTTTGTCAGGGCCAGAGGTTGCCTGTCAGTTATTGTCCTAGTGCTGATCCCCCATCCCCTCCCACCCCAGGTCGGTTTCTGGGTGCAACATGCCAAGCAAAGAGCTCTGCTATCTCGGCCTTCACTTCACATCTTGGGGCCACACCACAGCATCTCCCTGGCAGGCACAGAGGTGGCAGTAGTGCCACCACTAGCCTGAGCCATGCCAGAGGGAGCTGCAAATGCCTCAGGGGCAACATATGCACCATGCTTTGGGAGCACCCACACTGAGACTAACCTCACTGGGTAACATAACATCACACACACACCCCAGCCACCCAGGCTTGAGGGGAGGCCTACCAGCCTCTCGCCCATTGCGGGCAGCTTCTCCCTCCCCATAAGAGAACCTCTCCGCCCCCCACCCCAGCAACAGCCCCCCCGCCAATCCCAGCTCTGCCCCGTAGCTCGGCCGGGGCGTCCGCAAGACATCGGCCCCGCTACCTGGTGCCAGGGCCCAGGCCCTGAGGCGGCTCCGCCGGCAGCAGGCCGCGCTCGCCTCCGTCCCTATAGGAACCGCAGCCGCCAAGGGAGGCGAGGACTCTCCGCGGCGCAGGCGGGCACCGAGCAGGAACCGACTCATCAGCCGGCGCCTGTGCACATGACCCAGGGCCGCTGGCGTGGGGTGGGCGGGCGCTGCACCGAGGGCTTCCAGCGAGCGGCCTCCGGGCTTCCTGAAATCGCCTGCGAGTGCCCGCCAGGCCCGGGGGAAGCCCGGCTCCTTCCTGGGCAGAGAGGCAGCCCGGCCAGCAGCTGGGCGCGGCGGGCACAGTAAGTGTGGGGTGGCTTGGCAGGCCCACGTAGGGTGACCAGATGTCCCGATTTCATAGGGACAGTCCCGGTTTTGGGGTCTTTTTCTTAAATAGGCTCCTATTACCCCCCACACCCCCGTCCCGATTTTTCACATTTGCTGTCTGGTCACCCTAGCAGGGCATTCTTGGGGTGCTCATATTTAGGCTCTGCCCCACCCCTTTGGAGGGGGGTGTTGTGATTTTGGAGGGTGAATAATAGAGGGTTAATTCTGGGGCGAGGGGGTGCTGGAGCTGTGTCCTCGTCCAGGGAACTCCCTGGGCGGGGGGGCTGACTGTGATGGTGGGAGGGTGACAGTGTCATTTTGTGGGTATTGTTTCCTGGGTTTGGGGGGTAGGTAGTTGTGTTTGTGAGGCACTGGGGGCATTTCTCTGGTGGGGAGGAGAGAGCTCGAGTACCTGGGACTCATAGGTTACCAACCCTCCAGGTAGGGTGACCAGATGTCCTGATTTTATAGGGACAGTCCTGATTTTGGGGTCTTTTTCTTATATAGGCTCCTATTACCCCCCACTCCCTGTCCTGATTTTTCACATTTGCTGTCTGGTCACCCTACCTCCAGGATTGCCCAGAGTCTCCAGGAATTAAAGATTATGTCATGTAATGATAACCTCCAGGAATACGTCCAACCAAAATTGGCAACCCTGCCTGGGAGATGTGGGTTTGGTGCAAAGGGAAATTGCTAAATGCCAGTGAAGGTAGAGGTGGGGGGAAAGATGTTTGTTTCAGTGCACAAGCAGGAGGTGACTGGTGGGATGAAAGCCAGTGAGTTCTTCAGTATCTCCTTGAAACATACTGTACAAAAGTCATTGAGTGCTAAAAGGAGTCTTTAATATTAATCCAAAATGAGGGCCTATCTCTGTCCCAGTGAGTAAGACTTAACCACTCTGCAAGTTACTTGTTTTGGACCATCAACTGTCTTGTTGATTTTGAAATATTTTAATGTGACATTCATTTAAAATCAAGAAGCCATGTTAGACTGATGAGTCGCATTTTTGGAGGGTAGGGTGAGGCATAATTTAAGGCCCAGTTCTGCTGTCCTTGATTTAGGTCCCGATCCTGCAATAAGCACTGCATGGGCAAACTTCTGCACCCAGGCAAAACTCATTCCAGGGCTGTGTACTTAAACAGGAGAAAGATTGGGCCCTTATTAGGTATGCTGTGGTAGAGTGGGCTTAAAGGGGAAGCTGTCAACTTAAATTTAGCTCAACACTTTTCTAAAAACAAGCTTTTACGAAATCTAAAATCAATACAAAAGTTTCCACAGATGTTTTTTAAAAATGAAAACAGTTGTCCTTAACATTGCTGCACTAAATATCTCATAGGGAAAGTGACCATAAATAAAAGTGAAACTGACTGTTGATTTCCCTTGGCCAAGCTGAGAGACGTGCAAAACTTAAACAAGTTGTTTGTCTCAAGCCTGCAAACAATTAATTTTGATTTCTTATTCATACTTTACATATGATTGTAGTGTCTGAAACTATATGAAAAAGGAAGTGATTGGACAGTTGTGATTTAAGAGGCTTTGTTTGAACTCCTATAGCTCGTTCTCCAGTGACTGTTGTAGCCTACAAAAAGAACAGGAGTACTTGTGGCACCTTAGAGACTAACAAATTTATTAGAGCATAAGCTTTCGTGGACTACAGCCCACTTCTTCGGATGCATATAGAGTGGAATAAATATTGAGGAGATATATATACACACATACAGAGAGCCTAAACAGGTGGGAGTTGTCTTACCAATTCTGAGAGGCCAATTAAGTAAGAGGAAAAAAACTTTTGAAGTGATAATCAAGATAGCCCAGTACAGACAGTTTGATAAGAAGTGTGAGAATACTTACAAGGGGAGATAGATTCAATGTTTGTAATGGCTCAGCCATTCCCAGTCTTTATTCAATCCGGAGTTGACTGTGTCTAGTTTGCATATCAATTCCAGCTCAGCAGTCTCTCGTTGAAGTCTGTTTTTGAAGTTTTTCTGTTGTAAGATAGCCACCCGCAGGTCTGACATTGAGTGACCAGACAGGTTAAAGTGTTCTCCCACTGGTTTTTGAGTATTATGATTCCTGATGTCAGATTTGTGTCCATTCATTCTTTTGCGTAGAGACTGTCCGGTTTGGCCAATGTACATGGCAGAGGGGCATTGCTGGCACATGATGGCATATATCACTTTGGTAGATGTGCAGGTGAACGAGCCCCTAATGGTATGGCTGATGTGATTAGGTCCTATGATGATGTCACTTGAATAGATATGTGGAGAGAGTTGGCATCGGGCTTTGTTGTAGCCTACAGGATTGAGCTCAGACTGGGTTTCTGGACACCTATGTTCGTTTCCCATCTCTGTCACTGACTTGCTTTGTCATCTTGGGCAAGGAATATAACCTTTCTGTGGCTCAGTTAACTTATCTAGAACATAGAGATAATTATGTTGACCCCTTTTGTAAAAGAGGACTACATATTAGATATATCTCTATCGACTATATTGGAGAGAGATTGTTACTGGTTTACATTAGTATTAAAATACACTATGCAATACAGGACAGTGAAATATACTGACACCACCATGGAGATATATTTATCCCCCATATGTAAAATGCAGCAACATATATGTTTGATTTCTTATAATGTTCTCCCCGGTACAGGGATTTGGCAAATATAAACACTTCATCTGGTTAAGGTGATTTTGTGTTTTGGGGTCTTTTTAACGGGATAAAATTAAGATTCCTGACTTGGAGAGAGAGCACTATGACCTAGAAATGTGAACACAATAGAAAAGGTGTCTGTGTAGCAATGAATAAATGATTGGCCCTGAGCTGCAATTAACTCCCATTCATGTAAATGTTTATCCACATTGCTGTAGCACTTTTTTTTTTAGTTGTATTGTGTTATAGATCTAAGGTGGCTGTGCTATTCTTAACTCATTTTATAAAGTACTAGCTTGTGTCAGTATCTTGCTTCTGCTGCATGGCTTGTCATCTGCTTTGATCATTTTGCCCTTTAGCAGCTGTCCAGAAATCTTTTGGTAAAGGAGATTGTGCTACAATTTCTCATCTGATCTCAGAGTTGACTTAGCTAAGTGCTGTATATATGCGGAAGATACACTACAGTGCTTACGTACTTCAGAAATTGTGAGTAGATAGCAAATGAAAAATAGAGTTCTATTACTATAGTTTTTTTCAAAGTTGCTTTAATATCTATAGATTGAGCCATTTAAAATATGCTGAATGTGCGGATTTTTGTTTTTACAGGTAATTTAAAAGGAGCATGTAGTTTTCCAGTTAGACGTCTTTCTCCAAATGACTTGAAGATTGAAACTCAAAAACAGACTGCAATATCACTACTCTGTGACAGTCATCTTCATGATGGTTGATTTTCTAGCTGAAAACAATCACTGTGGACAGGCAATTCTTCGGATTGTCTCTTGTGGAAATGCCATCATTGCGGAACTTTTGAGACTATCTGAGTTTATTCCTGGTGTTTTTAGGCTCAAAGACAAGGTTGATCAGCAGAAGTATGGGGATATCATATTTGATTTCAGTTACTTTAAGGTAAATATTACTCTGCAATTGTTAAATCTCTGTCTTGAACCATCATTTTCTTACTGGAGCACTATTTTTCTAGGGCACTGTTTCTCAAACTGGGGTCCGTGGACCCCCACTCATCAACTCCTCCCCCTCCCTCCCTCCCAGCGCCTCCTGCATTCTAGGGAACAGCTGTTCAGCGGCATGCAGGAGGCTCTGGGAGGGAGGGGGAGGAGTTGGGGATTGGGCACACTCATGGGAAGAGGCAGGAAAGAGGATGGGCAGGGGTGGGGCGGGAAGAGGTGGGGTTGGGGTGGGCCTTGGGGGAAGGAGTGGCGTGGAGTGGGGGCGGGGCCTGGGGCTGTGCCAGGGCTTGGGGATCTGAAAAAATTTTTAAATCGAAATGGGAGTCCTCAGGTTGCTGAAGTTTGAGAACCACTGCTTTAGGGTGTTTTAGCCTTTTGGTATGCATGTGTTAAATCTGCCATTCTTGAGTAATTAATTGTGTTAATTACTATCAAATGTAAGAGTTTAATAAAATTTATTTTATGCTGAATTTGGTATTGGCAATAAATTCACCCAGAGTGAGGTTACAATTTGGATATGCCTGCACATTAGCTCTTTATTGCTTGAGTGAACTAAATCCAAAAACTTCATATCACACCTTTTCCCCTGCCTTGCTTATGCCTGTGAGTCAGAAACAGAGTATAGTCTAGATCTTGTATTTGGACAGGAATTTGATTTTTAATTCCATTGGATCCATCAGATCATTTGAAAGGAGGATGTGAGGGGAGAAAAGGGGCATGGTATAAAATGCACACTTACATAAGTAATCCCCAAAAACACTAGTTTTGAAAAGTTGTTGGGTTTGCCCAGCTGAAAAAGTGGAATTAGGCCTTTTTAATTATCTGAGGGATAGTTTAGTACTTAAAATCTCACTTTAGACAGAACAAGCAAATTCTGAGCATGTCAACAATGGCTGTGTTCCTTCAGGTAGTATCAGGAGATTCTTGATGCATTTCTGGTTGCCTTAACCCTGTTCTCTATCTTCTGCTGCATTGAAAGCTACCTTTATATAACTTCCTTTTAATAAGAATTCTGCGATGGTTCTTTCTCCATTAGGTCTGTTCACGTGTGCTGAACTAACAAGCATATGCAGGATCCGTGGCCAAGAAGGATCCCTTGTTTGCCTTCCTGGGTTTAACTTCTTAAAGTGCTTTCACTTTGCTGTTTTTCAGGACAGTTTGGGAAGGGATCTT